AGAGAGAAAGAGAGAGAGAGAGAGAGAGAGAGAGAGAGAGAGAGAGAGAGAGAGAGAGAGAGAGAGAGAGAGAGAGAGAGAGAGAGAGAGAGAGAGAGAGATCAGTTACTGAAAGGTGATTATAAACAGACTCACAAGACAGTAATAGGCACTTTCCACCCAACATCTCAGCACACCTCCATCACTGCAGGCATCCGCCTAGTGCAACATGCCAACTTTCTGCCTTTGACATTGCACACATTAAACCATCAGGTAATCTAATAGCCTCTCAAGTAACAAACAAAACAAAGCAGAAAACAGCCAGATACCAAGGTACACATTTGTAATCATAAAGTTTGAGAGGTGGAGACAGAAGGACCAGGAGTTCAAGGTCATCCTTAGCTACAAAGTGAGTTTAAGGCCAGCCTGGGTTATAAGAGGCAATGTCATTGCCTGTCTGTCTGTCTGTCTGTCTCTCACAATACACCCACACCGAACATCATAACAAACTAAACAAACAATAATCAGATTGCACCCCCACTCAAAAAAAAGGTAGCTGGATACTGAAGAAAAAACATTTATTGCCTCTCACAAAGCAGAACAAAACCATTCATTGTATGGGCAATTTTACCCCCTGAGAAAATGGGGCTCATGTCACCTATGTCAGGACTTTCATGAAATTTAAATCAACTGAAGATTTCAGAAAAGCCTTTGTACACCATCAAGTTTTTGAGCTACTGACATACATCTTCATGTATGTCATGAATAAAACTTTGAATAAAACTTCTCAAATTCTCAGGCTGAAGAGTTAGCTGAGTGGCTGATAGCACTTGTTCTTGTAAAGGACCCAGGTCTGATTCCCAGCATCCACATGGAGGCTCACTACCTCCTCATGGAGAGTGTGCTCCAAAACTGTCCTGAAGAGCTCTGTGCTCTCTATACCGTGCATCTCTTATGCATACAGCGTCTGTTCTGATCTACATTCACGGGTGGTTTTGAGAGGGTGACTATTTCAAATAGAAAAGCCTAATTTTTCCTTATTACTCTGCAAATTATCATTACATCCTGACTTATTTTCAGAGCAATATTTCTTTGGTGACACTCCACAAATCAACCGAAAATGTCCTTCATAAAACTTGACAACCCTGCCTTTAGAAGAGGCTGCATACTCTTGGACACTGACCAGGATGTGTGCTCAAATCGTGGTATGACAGCTATTGACAAAACCACCATAGCTAGCTGGGTGTTTCCAGACTATTAAATTGAGTAGTTACTGATGCTTACTGATTAATTAATGTTTCTTATCTGTTAAATTATCTGTCTGGGTTTACAGGGGAGAGAACAGGCTATTTCTTTTACTAAAGACTCAGTATAGAGTTCATAGCACTGCAGTCCAAGGGTTCTTGTGGACTCTGGGTCAGGCTAGGAATTCTCACAACATTTTCCTCAGAGGCGGTAACTCTTCCCCATCATCAGACTTTTCCAGTGTACTTGTCAAACTCAGCTTCTGGGACACAGTCTGCCTGCACACTCATCTATCTCCTGTCTTTCTGTAAGGAAAGGAAGAATGCTTATTAAAATCCCAACCACACCCAACAAGTAGAACACTGAAGTCAAATTTAGAGTCTATAGACACTCGAGGCGAAGGTTGGAGAGTAGTACACAAAAGCATAGTAATGAAGTGTCTAGGATTTCAGAACACATTTACTGAGGAGTCACTGAATGATGGGGGTGGAAGGCTGTCCAGAAGCTTATAAATATATACCACAAAAACGGTCACACAGGAAGATGTGCTGGTCCCAGCATAAACAACCAGTATCATGCTTAGTAGAAGCAAAGGCATGGAACATAGATTTCAGACCAACACAAAGAAGAACCAAGGGTTAGAGCTGTGAGAAAAAAGGAGTGGTTACCTTATGAGGTAGTGGGCTCCCTGTCATTAGAAGGATTCAAGAATGCTGCATATCATATCCCCATCTTGGAGATTCACAATGCACATTAGCATATTAAAGGTTCTGAGAAGTCCTGCAGTAAAGAAACCTGTTTAACTTAGTTAAATGCAGCATTTCCCAAATTGCTAGACCACAGAACCCTTTTCCCACCCCAGCCCCAACCTTAGAAATATTTCTTCAGTTCCTGTGGAACCAGGGTTTCACAAAACACATTCATTACAGAAAACAAAGGCCTGCATCTTTTAAAATGTGGTGTTCAGTGTGGACCTGAAGAATTAACAACCTGTCAGGGATGTAAGCAAAGAAATTGCTATGCACACCGGGCGGTGGTGGCGCACGCCTATAATCCCTGCATTCAGGAGGCAAAGGCAGGCAGATCTCTGTGAGTTCAAGACCAGCCTGGTCTGCAAGAGCTAGTTCCAGGACAGGCTCCAAAGCTACAGAGAAATCCTGTCTCGAAAAACCTAAATAAATAAAATAGCTATGCAGAACAGAGGCTATGATTCTGTAGCACCACAAGGCAAAGGGTCTTGATTATTACTTTATAAGGATTTATGAGGGAAAGGCAATAGAATTAAAACGGTAGCAAAATCCAAGGTTCATTGGTTCAAATCCTAGTTTCAAAATGTAGAGAGATATTAGAAGGACCACAAAACCAAAAATTCGCTGGACGTGGTGGTGGTGCACACCTTTAATCTCAGCACCCAGCAGACAAATCTTTATATTTGAGACTAGTCTAGTCTATATAGCCAGCTCCAGGCCAGCCAATACTACACAGAGTTACCTTGTCTCAAAAAAACCAAAACCAAACATATGCTCTAAGTATTCTACACTAACTATTCTACACACTACGTTAATTGCTATTTTAAGGTCAGGGTTTTTTGTTCTGTAATGCAGTCGTACATTAGAGAATTACACAATTGTAGCTTGATTTCTTTTTTCAAAGCACACGCTCTCTAGATAAAGTTAATATCTATCAGACACTTAGTACAGCAGATCACCCAGTGCAATCTAGGATCCTGAATTAAGACATCCAAAAATTGAGTAAGTATGGTAAGTTATAAGCTATTAAAAGTCTATGAAAATAGCTATCAAGAAAAATGTGTTTGCCCCCTCTCTTCTTTTAAAAATTATTCAAAATAACACAGACTAAAAAACAATCTCGAACTTGAAGCCAATCTAATATCAAGTGTAAAAATACAGACATCAAGAGGCTCCAACTTCAAGGCCCCATGGCTACAGTAACCTGGCCAGTCTATATACTGCGGGACCTCAAATTTAACAGCGCAGGAATACAAAATACAACTGGAATATGAACTTCTCTTTCCTGACTTCCAATTCTCAGGCCTAACTACTGCATTAAGGGCATTTTGGCAATGGGACTTTCAAGTTTTAATGAGTTATCAAATTCAGGAGCATGCAAGTCTAGTGAAGTTATCAGAAAGAAACACAAATAAATTACAGATATAGCTATGTGGAGCTAAAAATTCACTTTCAGTGCAAACAGCAAAACCTTGTTTCGGGGAAGAAAGATTTTTTGGAGGGAAAAAAAAATCACTTACAATATCACTTAATATCTGAATGAGTACAGCTAGAATCAGGCACACTATGTGTGCATACTAAAAGTACTTACCAATTTTGGGGAAACTGGCTCTCTGTCAGTTCTTTAATCCCCTGTAAGAGAAGAAAAAAAACAGTGTTAAACTGCAGAGTCATGATTTCATCAAGAGCGAACGACTCCAAGATTTCTAACTTTAAAGGAGATAAAACAAACAAACAAAAAATACCAATTTCTAAAATTTAAAACCCAACAGTAAACAAGGAAGAAATGAGTATTTTTTACAGCAAAGAAGGAACTGAAGAGCAGTTAAGCCTCTGTTTTAACACAGCTTTTCAAGACCAGGAAAAATAATTATGAATGACCCTTGAACAATAGGGAAAGCACCACTAAGGGCACAGACATCCTGAGTCAAAAACTAGAGCACAAATTTTGGTTCCTCAAAAACTTAACTATGACCATTGAGTTGTCAACAGGAAACCTCACCAACAAAATTAAGTTATTAACTGATATTCTTTGCTTTTTTTTTTTTTTTGATTTTTCGAGACAGGGTTTCTAAGTCGCTTTTGGTTCCTGTCCTGGCACTAGCTCTTTTAGACCCGGCTGGCCTCGAACTCACAGAGATCCGCCTGCCTCTGCCACCCGAGTGCTGGGATTAAAGGCGTGCGCCACCACCGCCTGGCTATATTCTTTGCTTTTTCAGGTAACATACAAACCACAGTGAAAAGTGAGTGATAACCACAGATGACCCATCCACTGCCACATTTTCCACAGATAATTACACACCTGAGGGCAGGACCACACGTGGAAAGCAACAGGAGGGACTGTAAGCTATTCCAAACATGCAGTGTTACCAGCCAGCTTTCTGTAGCTGTGATCAGGCTGTAAATGCATGTGCACTGATGTCTATATTTTGTAGACTGATAAAAGACCTAGCCATATGTATTTTATTTATTCAAATGGCTCTACTGCACTCTCTTTACAATAAAACATAAAGAATACTTTTGAAGTCCTTAGTTTGTTCCACTTAAAAAAAAAGTCTTTTTGTAATAAATGTTAAAATGGATTTGCTTCATGCGAAGCTTTAAATTCACAATATAATGTACAATAAGGGTAAAATAGTAAGTAAAGTATAAACAAATAATATAATCAGAATTTTAATTAAAATTTTATCCACATTATTAAATTTATATCACAGCTTGGGACTGTAAGTCACAAACAGACAATAGTTCTTCTCTGCCACATTCTTAACCAGTGATAAAGCCAAAAAGAAAAATCTAAGTTTTGGTATCCTGACCTAGTATCAGGGAACTAAGATTCAAATGGAGCCCTTAGCATTTTGAGCACTAAACTATGGAAACTCCATGACATGCTGTGTCTCAGTTATGCCTAAACATGCTTGCTGACCTATGCTACTCCCAAGAGTATTTCAAAGATCCTGTCTCTCAGATGAGACATTTTTGTTAACCACGTTAACAAAAACAGTTTAAAAAATATACAGTAAAGTTATTTAAAAGGCCCCTGTTTCAGTCTATAGTAGGTTCCAAAAGAAACTGACCTGGCTATTCTTTCCTTCTTCTTTTCTGGTTGTTACTGTTGTTTGTTTGTTTTTGTTTAAGACAAGGTCTCTCTTCAAATCCCTGACTGTGCTAAAACTCACTATGTAGACCAGGCCAACCTCAAACTCTCAAGAGATCCACCTGCCTCTGACTCCTGAGTATTGAGATTAAAAGTGTGCAACAAGGCACCCAGCTCCTCCTTTTTCTCTGACTACAGTTATTTTCAAAGTTCACAGGAGTACCTCTAAATAGCTTTTTGTTTGGTTGGTTTTTTTGTTTGTTTGTTTGTTTTTGTTTTGTTTTGGTTTTTCGAAACAGGGTTTCTCTGTGAATTTGGAGTCTGTCCTGGAACTAGACTAGGCTGGCCTTGAACTCACAGAGATCTGCTTGCCTCTGCCTCCTTAGTGCTGGGATTAAAGGTGTGCACTCCCACCGCCTGGCTAAATAGCTATTTTAATCATAGGGATTAGAATGAATTCCCAACCACAAGAAAAATCATGCAATAAATCTGTAGAATAATGCAGTTACTAAAAACTAGACTCAAAGTGTCCTCAGGCTTCTCTGCCAAGGATGGAAAACTTTGCATCATAGCTGACCTCTACTAACTGGATGTAGGGCCAACTGGTGCAATTTACAAAAACAGTTTCACATACGCAGATATTCTAAGTCTCTACAGGTTGTTTTTCAGGTGTATCCACATGCAGCGTAAATTCTTAACAATCAATTCCAAAAGAGCGCTGAGACTCTTTTTAGAGATGAATTTTGTGCTGTTTGAGTATTAGTGAAGTCTCATAAATTATACTCATCAGGCGGTGGTGGCACCCATCTTCAACCCCAGCACTCAGAAGGCAGAGGCAGGCAGATTCCTGTGAGTTTCAGGACAGCCAAGGAGGTTACACAGAGAAACCTGTATTGAAAAACAAAACAAAAACAGAACAAAAAAAGTAGGAAAGAAAAGAGAAATTATACTCATTTATGACAGGATTTAAAATCTAAGACACATTTTTTTTCCTCATCCTTTTTTGTTTGTTGTGTTCTTTAACAAGCTTTTAAATACCTTTATCCTCTAAATCCTATATTGTCTTCAGCAACTAAAAGCTATCTTGGTAACCACTTTTTTCTTCTTTTTTAAATAAAATTTCTTCAACTTTGTGACTTAATGATAGTTAGTTTTTGTGATTATTGCCTCTTGACTTCTAAAATCCTTTCAAATAATATACAGCTGGACCCACAAAAAAAGTAGATTCTCATTATTTCAGTTACTATAGTACAGAGTCCATAGTGTTGCTCAGAAGATGCCCAATGCAGTGGCAGGCTTACAGTGAGCACTCAATAAATGGTCAAGTCCAGGGATTGGTTGAATGGAAACAGACTGTTGCAGGCTCATCCTCCCAGTTCCCCAACTTTCTTGTTAGATAACTCCTTATACATCAGTCTCCTGCTGTATTAACTAGTTAGATGGATAAGTTTTTATCTACACCATTCATCAAGAAGTAAGACAGATAATACTATTTTAAAATATAATGAAAAGAGAAAGACTGAACAATTGGACTAAACTAAAATTAAGAACTTGTGTTCATTTGAAACACAAAATGAAACACCATGTAATGAATGCATGAATGATGGAGGAAGGTCATTGGTTAATTAAGAAACTGCTTGGCCCTGATAGGTTAGAACATAGGTGGGTGGAGTAAACAGAACAGAATGCTGGGAGGAAGAGGAAGTGAAGTAAGACGCCTCAGACAGATGCCATGTAGCTCATCGCCAGGGCAGAGGTGATGAAGCTCCGACCCAGGATGGACATAGGCTAGAATCTTCCCGGTAAGCGCACCTCGGTGCTACACACATTAATAGAAATGGGCCAGGCAGTGTTTAAATGAATACAGTTTGTGTGTTGTTATTTCGGGGTATAAGCTAGCCAGGCGGCCAGGAGCCGGGCTGTGGGAAGAGGCCCACAGCTCATACTACACATGAAGACCAGCAAAGTAGTTCAGTTGGTCAAAGTGCTTAGAGCCAACACTGATAACTGAGTTTGATCCCCAGGACTTACACTGTAAAAGTCACATATTGGATGATTCCTGCGAATCTTCCTTTGGCTCTCATGTCCACACACATAAATGAATAAATGCAATAAACTTTTAAAAGAATGACTGAAAAGGTAAGCTGAAGAACTAAGATATATATAATTTAAAAAATACATATACCCAATCCATTGATACTCAAACATGATTAGGACACGATGGTTTTAACATCTATTTAATACAGCATTAAGAAAAGTCTACTGCTATAAACTCTTCTGAGAAGTCAGCAGAAAGACAGTACAATGTATGCATGTGTATCTATTGCCCAGGCCTTTTCTCCAAAACTCAATGGCAGATCCAATCTCAAGTCAATAAAGCGAAAATCATGAAGTCATAAGATCATGAAACTGATTATAAATTGCTTATAAGGAATACAGAAACCACACAGGAAAGCAAAGTCTAAGGGACATTTCTCAAAGGGCACTCAGCTGGTGGGTTAAGGAGAAAGGATCTCGCAGGCCTGGGGCCCCAGTGTCTGAGTAGACTCCTCCACCAGATGTCACTTTTACTGAAGCTCTTCTAAGAAATGAGCAAAAATAAACATGGAGAAATCGTTTCAGCAAAGTTTTAGAGAGAAAAAAAAAAAAAACACATGTAAGCTACTTAGGGCAAGATTTAGAATTCAGTATCCTTTATGCTTAAGGATACCCACGAGTAGGCTTCAGAAGGCTACCACCTGTAACAGATTCTGTATGCGTGAGCAGAGGGGTAGCTTCAGGGAAGAGGGTCCACAGCATCTATCAGACCCACAAGGAGACTCAGACACCCAAGAAGAGCAAATACTTTCAGACTAACATCTTGAACATCAACACTTCAAGGGTTTCTTCTGAAGACTGATTGTTAAACTATCAAATGGAAAGTAGCCAAAAAAGAAAAGATTTCTTTTCTATAATTTAGTGATACTGAGCAGCAGAATGGAAGAGTGACATGTAAGTCTGCACTTTTTACACTATCCATGTGTAGAATGGACTCATGTCTGAAGTCTCATTTCCTCACCTCAAGCTGATAGGGTCTGTCCATTTCTCACCACATTCCATACTTAGAACTGAGGTCTTTCAAAACCTTAATTAAATTTGCTTAAATATTTTAAATATGGATTTCTTCTTGAAAATACACTCAAGAGCTGGACATGGAGACTGTCCATGTGCCTGCAATCTTACCAACTAGTAGGCAGCTAAGACAGGAAGATTCAGAGTTCAAGAAGAGCCTGGATGAACATAGCAAATTCCAGGCTAGTCTGAGCCACATAGTGAAACCTGGGCTACACAGTGCTTCAACTAAGTGAACAAAATGGCATTCAAAATACTTGTTAGAGTAAATACATTATTTTTTGCTTTTAGAGATGAACATTATTTTGCTAACATAAATTCACACAATTTTTTCTTCATACACTTGCCCTCTACAGAGCAGGCAAAGAATCAAGTCACTCAGATTTCCAGTATCGTTATAAAATTTAAAACATTATCAATAATTAAA